ACGCCAAACCCCAGTGGACACACTTAAACATACATGCTTATAGTGTTGAGTACCTTAATCAAATTATGTACGATATAACTGATCGCAATAAAATTGCTTTAAAATTACTCAAACGATTTGTAGTAAAAGAACCGTTTGGTTTGTTGACAAATATTTCACAACTACGGCAACTATATAAAGATGTGTTGGCCGGCAATGCCGTTATAATTGCGCCCAAATTTCTGGGTTATTATCTGTTAAGAAATATTGAAAGTATATTTGGAAATTCTTATCGACAGGACATTGATTATCACATATCGACTGCAGATATAAGCAAAACGTTTTACTTTTGGGGCGTAAATAATGAACGATTAAACCAATCGTTTGTCAATCAATTTAATCAAATGTGAGTAAAATCTCTGATGTAATAAATACATAATATATTGAATATTTAAGTTATAATTATTTTTTTAAAAAACTTATATTATTAAGAAGTATGCTTTAAAATTATATAATTTTAAAATAAACCATGATCAATTTATGACTATATGTTTGATCTGTATAATTTTTATGTTTACAATTTTGTTTTATTGTTTAGTGTGAAACGTATGCAACAAAACGGTGTCTATGAGTATAAAGTAAGCAAATCATTGAAACCTTTGGGTTTTGGTCCCGATATATACGACAAACCGATTGTCGATAAGACATATGATATCATATCCATTGCAGACATCGTTGGCGTCGTTTGGCTCTTAATCTCAGGCATAACTCTATCAACACTTTTACTGATCATTGAAATGATATATTCGTGGAAACTATTTAAACAAATTATTTCTTCACTGAATTTTATTATTCAATTTACAATCCAATTATTTATTTAATTCGCTTGTTTGCAAAGTGTAGTAAAAATATTGTTAGATGTTTGTTTAAATTATAGATCGGTATTTAAATCAATGCACAGTTTGGTTACATCAAGTGTTTTACTTTAATTATTGTGACAAAATAAATAAACATTTAATAAAAATACATTAATCAAAATAAAATATTTACAAAACACTTTTTTATAAATTAGTATTATCAGTACATTATAACTTGATAAAAAGATTTAATAGCGAACAATGTTTAATCAAGACCAATGGCCAACCTATTAGAAGCTATTACAGCATGAACTCTCTCTCTCTCTCTCTCTCTCTCTCTCTC